TGAGGCATGAAAATCGCTTGAATCCGCGAGGTGGAGGTTGCAGTGAGCCAAGATCATGCCACTGCACTCCAGCCTGGGCAACAGAGGGAGACACCATCTCAAAAAAAGAAAAATTACAAATAAAAGGAACAAAGTAGCACATAAACTGTGTTTCTCCTACTTCGACAAAAATACGTTCATGACTACTGGAATGCAGTTTCCTATGCAGAAAATTTAGATTTATTGGAAGCCAATGAAAGAACAGGGTTGGCAGTGCCATCGCCAAGAAGGAGCCTGGGCCTTCAATCTCTGGCTTAGTCACACTGGGAGAGATGGCCCAGCTTTCCTCTATCAGTCCACTTCTTTCTGCAAACTGACCACCCTCTGTTCATTCCTCACACCTAGGGCTTTAATCTATGCACTGTGATCTCGCCTGGGGAAGACGGCCTTGGAAAAAAGGCCCATGCAGGTCCAAGTATCAGGCTTGGAGCTGCAGCCCTGGGGACTTATTGTCCAGAAAAGGGGAGGGAGGGGCATACACAGGCTCCAAGAAGGCAAAGACTCTTCACCATTGGCCTGTATTCTGTGTTCTCTGAGGAACGCCATGACCCAGGAAGGTCAGCGTGAAACCTGCGCATATCAGAGCAGTAACCTCTGTTGCCTGGGTCTAAGAGCGGTAGTGGCCGAGATTAATTAAGTGAGGGCAGTAAGTGAGATGATTGCAAGAGTGGGAGTCCAGATGGGTTTGCTGAAAAGTGCATACTTTTCACACAACTGAATACTTCTTTTCTTCCTTCTGCTTTGTCAACAAACTAAGATATTTATACATTAAAATACAGTTCTGAAACTACATGGCATCAGAGAAAGACGATGAGAGAGAAGGTAAAAGAGGAAAGGAGGAAGAGTATGTGGAAAACACGGGTTGATACAGGGAAAGAGGAGACGAGAGGAAATGCTATATGTGGAGGAAGGTAGAATGGTTATTGGAGGGTTACCTAATAGAATAATAATATAATCGACTATACACGAGTTAAGCAGGTGTCTTCCTACTAAACCAAACACCTATCTGTAAATATTTTGATTTCATAATCTCTTAAATGTTGGGTGCCTCTCCTTCAAACTATGTAGTAGACTATTGATTATTCTGAAAAATCACATGAACATTTTAGTCTTGCATGCTATTTGCTTTAGAAAAACAGAATTATATTTGCTAGTAACATGAGAAATGGCTAAAAATCCGAAGATTCTTAGTTGTGGTTGGAGAAATATAATGAAAAACAAAATCTTCTGCCACTTCAGAAAACCTCTTTATGAAAGTAGAAAAGGGGAAAAAATTTTATTATGGAATAGACATTAAAGCAGAATGTGATGCACAAAATAGGCTAAGGAGATTGCCAAAATGGAAAGACAGAGCCAAGTAGCTGTCTTCTATCACACACATGTTCTCAAGAGTAACAACTAGCTCTCACCTGAACTTCATAGCACCATTAGCCATATAGTTCAGCCTAAATTTATGTGGTAGTTGGGGTAGCCACCTGTGTCTGCTGATTGTCTTAAAAAAGAAAGAAAATTTCTTATATATTATGACTGGAGGTAGGTTTGCAATTTGTAACCAGGCACCAGCTGAACTTAGCTTTTACTTCCCAGGAACCTGGGAGCTGGGGAAGTTATATTCCTCTATGATGACATATCAAAGCGATAGTACCAGCCCCATGAGAAAACATTCTTGGGGTGATTATCTAGTCTTTAAAAATATTTATATACATTTCAGAGACATAGAGAAAGAAATCACAAGTTTTCTACAGTAAACAATCTAAGCAAAGGTACGTAGGGAGAGAAGTCTCTTATATTTGGAATATGGAGAATTAAACCACTTACTTTTATTTGCATTTGCTCTTACATATTCAAGTTTTATGTACAAATTATGTGCTTCATTCTCTTGTCTATTCACTGATCAAAATTTATGTCTTTCACAACTTTACAAGAATATCATCATTATGACATTATTAATTCTAAAGTATTTCAATTTTATTGTAAATTCAATTTATTAAAAAAAAATGGCATGACAGAAAGCACATATACATCATGTAAGACAGTGTTTCTTCCCTTAAAAGTTGTTTTTGTTGGTGAATGTATTTACTAAATAAATATGAATTGAGTGTCCTCTATGGTTCAGGCACTGCTCTCCTCACCTGGGATACTTCAGTGAATTAAACAAGCAAAGAAACATTGTGTTTATGCAGCTTAAGACCTAGAAGAAGGATACAGTCAATAAACAAAAAACATTATAAGCAGTAAGCCTGTTATATTACAAGGTGATAAAATCTGTGTCATAAAATAGAGTAATATTAAATATAATGGTAATTGCGAGTATAATGGTAGGGGTGAAGTTGCAGTTTCAGCTTGTCAGAGTGTGCCTCATTGAGATGAAATTTAAGCTGACACTTGAAGGAGGCTAATTCCACAATTAATGTATGAGTACATGGCTACATCTTTGCAGGAATATAGAAAAGAGAGTCAGATACGTTGTTTTAATTTTGTCAGTTATAAGGAACAGTAGCCAAGGACAGTGTGGTTCAACATAGCAGAATATTTTGCTGTGTTCTCTTGCCTTGCTATCTATAAGAGAATATCAGAGGCTGGGTAATTTATGAAGAGAGGGGGTTATCCACCTCCTGTATTTGAAGGCTTGATAAGAAGCATGGCACCAGCCTTTACTTCTGGTGAGGGCCTCTTGCCGCTTCAACTCATGGCAAAGGCCAAGAGCAGCTAGCCTGTGCAGAGATCACACCATGAGAGAGGAAGAAAGAGAGAGGAACGAGAGGGAATGACAGCTCTGTGGGAACTAACAGAGCGAGATTGCACTCATTACCAGGAGGACAACACCAAGCTATTCTCGAGGGTTTTGCCCACATGACCCAAGCACTTCCCAACAGGCCCTACCTCCATCACAGTGATCAAATTTCCACATGGGTTGTGGAGAGACAAATACCTAAACAATAGCAATGGAGAGAGGTGGGACGCTGGAACTTGGGGCTTAGGAATGGGGAAAGAAGCAGATTGGGGATTTTCTGCTCTGTCCAGGAAGACAGGAGTCTCTAGTACACATCAATTATTGAATTTCCACGGCTGAATTCTCCTCTTTTTGTTGAAGTCTTAGAACCATGACAAAAAGACATGGATAAGGTGTTTAAGTCAAGCAGTGGTATAAGTTGTTTAAGTGCTGCCAGAATAATAGGACTTACATAAAATAAAATGTGGCTTTTCATAGTGGCATAATCAGACCACTTTTATAGTCTGTGCCAACTGCTGTTTTCAAATAAAATCTTCTGTAATTTCCATAGATGGCTTCTTTTAGGGTAGTTAATTCTCTGGTGACTCAGATAGAAAAAAGCCACTCTTTAGCTTGGAATTTGGTGCTCCAGGAGAGGCTGAAGACAAGTCCAGAGGATGCACATGGTCCCAAGGACATGGCGGCTGTGGGCGTGGCCTAGAGTGCACACATGGTCCAACAACATGGCAACCGCAGGTCCCCCAGCAGGGGCATAGCAAACTTTCTTCTCCAGCAGGAGGCAGGCACAAAGGCACTCAAATGGGCAGGGCAGCTGCAGCGGCCCAGCCTGCTTCTTTAAATTGTGTGCTCTAATAGCCCCTCCCTAGAAGTTTTATAAATTGGCCTGCGAATTAGACCTTTGCTGAAAACATTGGTACCCATCTCCTAAGCCTCATGAGCTTCGTCAAAGCACATTGGTAGAACCACTCATCCCAACAGCTTCCTTTCGTTCCATGCCCCTATGGTAGTCACTGAAGGGCATAAGAGGCCTTGGGCTTGAGCCCATAATGCTGGTAGGTCCTAATTAAAATCCAGTTCATGGTGAGCCCTCTAATAAAATAGAGCACGCATCCTGGGCACACAAAATTTCGGGGTACTGACTGAAAAACATTTCATTTCAGTACCCATTTTGCTTGGGGAATGCCTCAGGTCAAAGCGGCTGTAATTTTTTTAACTGGGGATGCAGGCTTGCCTTGTGTTCTATTTCAAATAGGTGCTTCTATTCTAAGCTCAAGTCCCCATTAAAATGTATACTGAAAAATTGAGACCAGTTTAACACACAAGTCTTAAAAAAAGCGGCTCATCTTTCTCTGCTGAACAGAGTAGCCAAAATACCCCCTGCCGAGTGGAAAAACCTGACCTCCAAAGGGAAGTATAAATTATAACACCATTCTACAATTGTAAAAGTAAAAGCAAGTAGTTTAAGGTCCCCTATGTGCAACTGTTCTTTTCCCTAAGGAATAAGCCTTGGCTCTGTCAGGCTTGTGCCCTTTACCCTATTCAGCCCTCCTCAGGACTACCTCCACCTGTGGATCTCCCTGCGGCAACTACCTCCACCAATGCCAACCAGGGCTCCTCAGCTCCCGTACCCCAACAGGAGCCAGGGAGGGCCAAGACAGCCAGGGCATCTCAGGCTACCCGGATGCCCAAACTCTGCCCCCTACAGGCAGTGAGAGGAGAATTTGGCCCAATAAAGGTGAATACCCCCTTCTCACTTTCTAACTTAAAACAAATTAAAGCAGACTTAGGAAAGTTTTCAAATAACCCCAACAAGTATATAAACGTTCTTCAGGGCCTAAGTCAGTCCTTCAAATTAAACTGGAGGAATGTCATGCTTTTGCTTAATCAAACCCTAGCCAGTAATGAAAAAAAGGCTGCTCTAGCAGTCGCTCAAAAGTTTAGGGACACTTGGTACTTTAGTCAGGTACGTAACCTAAAAACACCAGAGGATAAGAACAGATATCCCACAGGTACACAGGCAGTCCCTTCCACGGACCCTCGCTGGAATCCAGATTCAAAACAGGGGGCTAGGGCTGTAAGCGTTTCCTAACCTGTATACTTAAGGGATTAAAGCAAACTAGGAAAAAGCCAATGAACTATGCAATGTTATCCACCATAACTCAAGGAAAGGAAAAAAACCCAACAGCTTTCCTTGAGCGATTGCAAAAAGCTTTAAAAGAGTACACTCCCCTGTCACCATACTCTATTAAGGGTCAGTTAATACTAAAAAACTGGTTTATTTCTGAGTCAGCAGCAAATATCAAGAGAAAGCTTCAGAAGCTAGCTTTAAGAGCAGAACAGAGTCTAGAATCACTGCTAAACCAGGCCAACTCAGTGTTTTATAATAAAAACCAAAAGGAACAGGCAAAAAAACAGGAAAAATCAGAGAAAGGCTGCTGCCTTAAGTTATAGCCTTCAGGCAAGCAAACACCAGGGGCTCAAATAAGGGAAAGTCTCACTTTAGCCACCAGTCTAGCAAAACTTGTTACCAGTGCGGTCTAAAGGGACATGTTATCAAAAACTGTCCCCAGAGGAATAAACCACCACCTCATCCATGCCCGCTATGCCAAAGAAATCACTAAAAAGCACACAGTCCCTGGGAACCAAGGTCCCCTGAGCCTAAGGTGTCTAACCAAATAACCCAATGGCAAAACTGAGGATGCCTAAAACAAGTACCAGCATAAGCCATCACCCTCACAAAGCCCCAGGTTAAAGCTAGCCATAAAGGTCCCAAAAGTCAATCTTCTCCTAGGCGCCAGCACAGCCTTCTCAGTATTTCTCTCCTGCCCTAAAAACAGTGCTAGTATTAAAAAAGTTACTACCTCTATTCAGTTACTATAAGCTATCTCAAAAGTTAATTAGTAACAAAGACAGGTTGCTAATTCTCTCTGCAAAGGGCACCTCTCTCTGCAAACCAGCTTAACTCTTTAGCTGTTGTAGCTTTAAAAATAGAAGAGCCCTAAATCTGCTAACAACAGAAAGAAGAAAAACCTGTTTCTAGGAAAAATGCTGCTATTTTGTAAACCAGTTTCGTGTTATTTTAAATATAAAACTCAGAGATCAATCAAAAACAGGCCTAGAAACCTTCAAAGACCTAGCTCTGCTCTCTGCTAGGCTCATTTATAACTCTAAGCCTCTCATCTTTAACCACCTGGTCTTATTCATTTCTTGTAAAACCATAAGGTCACAGTTAATCCTGCTGCTAGAACCCTGAACGTCCTTAGCTCGTAAGCTTTATCGTAAATCTGTAAATTAACCTGCACCCCTAAAAGGCTCCCCTCTGGAAGAAACCTCAACTGCAGGGCCCCTTCTACGCCCCATTTCAGCAGGAAGTAGTTAAAGAAGATCAATGCCCCAATTCCAACAGAAGTTAAATTTTCCTGTTCAGAAAGGGGAATGAGGGAAGGTGGTCTCTTTCTGGGCCCATGAAGGGGTGTAGCTTTAAGGGCAAGAATCTTCCAGCTCCATGCCCCGCTTCCATCTCTCTCCATCCTGGAGATTCAGCAGTTTATGTTTGAATTTCGCGGGCACGGGAAGAAACTAAAAATCAGTCACTCCAGCGGAAGTTCTAAGGAACTCCTTTCATTGGCCCAGGGTCTTAGAGAAGGTGGGCGTTTCTCCCAGGATAAAAGTTCGTGCTCCGTCACCTGCGCCAGATTTTCCAGCTTTCTCGAATCCCCTTCCACACAGTGGGAGCTCCCTCTGTGATCTCTCCTCTGGAATCCCCTTCCACACTCTTCTTAGAAGCCTTTCTCCTCTTCTCTTTTCCTTCTGTTTTCTCTACCTAAATAAAATCACCTTCCTGCAACACTTTTTGGGTCCGATATTCACTTTACGAGCATACGGTCCACCTGCAGTGGCCCCACCGCTTATTCCTTAAGAGGCTGGAGGCCAAAAACCCACAACAATCACCGGCATGTGAGAAAAACCTGGTTCCAAGATGGCCTTTACAGCTTCTGCTGGCAGTGCTGTTTTCAAATACAATCTTTTGTTATTTGCTGTGTAAGTGGCTTCTCTTCTGGGAGTTCATCCTCTGGTGCCTCAGACGGAAAAAAGCCACTCTTTAGCTTAGAATTTGGTTTTTCAGGAGAGGCTGGAGACAATTCCAGACAACGTCGAGATACTGCACGTACAGAGTCAGAAGACACCCTGGCAGGTACTGTTATTGTTACAGAAAATATAGTTACCTAGCAAGTGTTTTTTTTTTTTAAATAATATGATACCGTTTGTTTATTGAAGCGTTTTTTTTTTTTTAAATAATATGATACCGTTTGTTTATTGAAGACATAGCCTTAATAGAAATGTGAAGACCCTATAGGCATAATGCTAGTGCCAATGAGAGTGCTAAATTTTTTCTTTAGAGAATTGTGGCAAAGCAGTTCACATTAATTATTATCCTGGTAATATTTATTTTTATGTTATCTTTATATGTAGTATATTTATTGTTATTATAATATATTTCAGTGTATAAATCAATAATTTAAAGTGCTTCCTGAACCCAAATATAGTGTAGGATCTCTCCAATCACATTTCTGTCATCTACCACCATTCATTTTCTACATTAGGATTCTCTCTTTACATTGCAATAAACAATAATGTAAAGCTAAACAGTATTATAAAGCACAGTTTCTAAAAAGTTCGTGGCCTACAATTTTTTGGGGATGAAAAAATTTAAATATCTTTAGGTGTGGTATTTCATCTCTTGTTGTATATGCCTGTTCTCATGCTGCTGTGAAGAAATACCCAAGACTGGGTAATTTATAAAGAAAAGAGGCTTAATTGACTCACAGTTCTGCATGGCTGAGGAGGCCTCAGGAAAGTTATGGCAGAAGAGGAGACAAACACATCCTTCTTCATATGACAGTGTGAGAGAGAAGAATGACAGCCCCAGAGATAAGGGAGAAGCCCCTTATGAAATCACCAGATCTTGAGAAAGTACTCATTATCACAAGAATAGCATGGGGGAAACCCCACCCATAATTCAATCACTCCCACCAGGTCCCTCCCACCACACGTGGGGACTATGGGAACTGCATTTCACCTTGAGATTTGGGTGGTGACCCAGCCAAACCATATCCCTTGTTTAAAATATTTCTTCTCTTCTGCCAATTCAAACTTTTTCTGTATTTTCTTGGTCTCTGAAATCTGTATGGTTTGTACCTCTACAAAAAAGCAAAAGAAGGAAGTCCAATGAAATAAATCATTTCAATTCTTATATGCAAATTTAATATTTGAGTTCATGTATTGAAAAAGCAGTAACAGCTTTGGGTGTAGGGGTGTGGTTATAATATCTTCAGGCAGGATATAAAATTTTGTATCTTTCAATGAGGTTGATATTTTATCCACATTCACTATGTAGTCCTCATTTAATAGTAAAATATATTTTCTTTAAGGAAACTTTGTTTTAGAAGTGTTAATTTGTTTAACCAAGGGCAGGCCAAGGGCATACTCAGGGTCAAGAATATAAATGTAGGTATATACATAATTAAAAGTTATAAATAAAAGAAGAAAATGGTACATAAAATATCTTTTTGTTTATACCTTGACAACAGTACATTTGTGACAACCTGGAAGGCATGTTCCAATGTAGATTTTTCATGTGTCTTGGAATTCAACGCTAGAATGTTTGGACCTTGACCTAGGCAAGGTCCCTACAGCCCCGCTCCTTCTATCTCCAGCTTAGCCCCATACTGGGAGGGATGCCCCAGCTTTACTATCTCAGTCCGTCTTCTTCCACACACTGGCCATCCTCTGTCCATCCTTCAGACCCAGGGTTTCAATCATTGTAATGTGGTCTCACCTGGAGAAGAAGGTCTTGGAAAGATGCCCATGTAGGCCCAGATCACAGGTTTGGCTGTAGTCTTGGGGACTTAGAAAATGGTCCAGCAGTGGGGTAAGGGATCACACAGGCTCTAGGTAAGTATTGCTTTTTCACCCTCAGCCTGTAGTCTCTGCTCTCTGAGGAGTGCCATGACCCAAGGAAGGCCAGAGACAGACTTGCATAGATCAGATTAGGAACTTCCAAAATGTATGGATTAGATGATTAAGTCCACCAGTGGCATATATTGTTTCAAGTGCTGCTAGGATAATGGGAATTATACAGAATAAAATGGGGCTTTTCATGGTTTCATAATCAGATGACTTTATATTCTGTGCTAATAATGCTGTTTTCAAATAAAATCTTGTGTCATTTGCTGCAGGTGGCTTTTCTTACAGTAGTTCATCCTCTGGTGACTCAGACAGGAAAAAGCCACACTTTAGCTTAGAAATTGGTGCTCAAGGTGAGGCTGAAGACAAGTCCAGAGACCGTCGGGATGCTGGAAGTTCACAGTCAGAAGACACCCCAGCAGGTACTGTTGCAGAAAAACACATGTACTTAGCAAGCAAGTGCTGTTTGTTTTCATTTTGGATAACCTGAAAATCTATGTTTTCTTAAAGACAAAGCCTGCATAGAAATAGTGGGGACCCTAAAGACACTAATTTCAGAGCCGACTAGAGTGATAAATTCTGTCTTTAGAGAATTGTGGCAAAGAAGTTTACATTAAATTATTGTCCTGATAATCTTTACTTTTAATGCTATCTTTGTAATTAGAATCTTTATTATTATGACATATTTCAGTCTATAAATTAATAATTTAAAATGCTTCCTGGACCCAAATGTAGTGTAGGGTTTCTCTATTCATGTTTCTGTAATCTAGCCACCATTCATTTTCTACATTAGGATTCTCTCTTTACATTGCAATAAACAATAATGTAAAGCTAAACAGTATTATAAAGCACAGTTTCTAAAAAGTTCGTGGCCTACAATTTTTTGGGGATGAAAAAATTTAAATATCTTTAGGTGTGGTATTTCATCTCTTGTTGTATATGCCTGTTCTCATGCTGCTGTGAAGAAATACCCAAGACTGGGTAATTTATAAAGAAAAGAGGCTTAATTGACTCACAGTTCTGCATGGCTGAGGAGGCCTCAGGAAAGTTATGGCAGAAGAGGAGANTTTTTTTGAGGTGGAGCATCACTATGTTGCCTAGGCTGGAGTGCAGTGGCTCAATCTCAGTTCACTGCAACCTTTGCCTCCTGGGTTCAGGAGATTCTCCTCCCTCGGCCTCCTGAGTAGCTGGGTTTACAGGTGCGTGCCGCCACACCCATCTAATTTTTGTATTTTTAGTAGAGATGGGGTTTCACCATGTTGGTCAGGCTGGTCTCAAACTCCTAACCTCGTGATCCACCCACCAAAGTCTCCCAAAGTACCAGGATTACAGGCATGAGCCACCGCGCCTGGCCAGATTCTCTCTTTAAATTACACACTCAGTTTACTAAAGGGTAGCAGAAAGCTGAGCTTCTAAACAGTGCATAGAGTGCAGGTTTTTTTTTTAAGGAAAAAATTTAAATGTCTTTAAGTGAGGCATTTAATCTCTTGTTTGACATATCTTTCCCTGCTGGCCTGTTTAAACTTTCACTGTACTTGCCAGGTCTCTGCAACCTGTAGGATTTATACTTCTACATGAGAAAGAAACAGGTTCAGTGAAATAAATAACTTTAGTATTTCATATGAAAATTTAGTATTTGAGTCCGTGTAATAAAAAGGCAGAAATAGCTTTGGATGTAGGGGCGTGGTTGTAATATCTTTAGGTAGGACATAAAATTTTATCTCTTTTCATGAGTTTGGTAATATTTTATCCTCATTCAGTACGCAGGGCCCATTTAATAGTGAAATAAACTTTGTTTAAAGAAACTTTGTTTTAGAAATGTTAATCTGGTTAGCTAACGACAGGCCAAGGGCACAGTCAGGGTCAAGAGTATAAATGCAGGTGTATTCGTAATTAAAAGTTACCAATAAAGGAACACAATACTATGGAAAATGCGTTTCTCTTTCTACTTTGACAAAAGTACACTTATGACAACCTTGAAGGCAGAATCCAACACAGAATTTTCAGGTTTATCGGAATTCAATGCAAGATCAGTGTTGACAGTGCCCTAGCTACGGTTCCCACAGTCATGCTGCTTCTGTCTCTGCTTATTCCCATACTGGGAGGGACATCACAGCTATTCCATCTCTGTCCATCTCCTTCTGCACACTGTCCGTGCCTTATCAATTCCCTCAGGCTGAGGGGATCATATTTGCAACGTGGTCTCACCTAGAGAAGAAGGTCTTAGGAAACATGCCCATGCATGGCCATGTACTAGACTAGGGACTGCAGCCCTGAGCCCTAGAATATGATCCAGAAAGGAAGACGGGGATAGCACAGCCTCTGGGCAGGGAGGCATAATCCCTTCGCTCTTGGCCTGTATTCTGTGTTCTCTGAGGAGCGCTGTGACCCCAGGAAGGCCAGAGGAAGATGTGGGTAGGTTAGGACAAGAATCCCTGTTCCCTGAGTGCAAGAGAGCTACTATCCAAGGCTACTGATTGCAAATGGGGGAACTCAGATGGGTTTGAATTAAGAGTTTATACTTTCGCTCTGACTGAGTACAGCTTTGCTTCCTTCTGCTTTGCCATCAAACTAAGATATTTATATATTAAGGTGCAGCTCTGAAACTACATGACATTGAAAAAGACAATGAGAAAGATGGTAAAAGAGAAAAAGAGGAAGAGTATATAGTGACAAAGGGTAGATAGAGGGGAAGAGGAGGAAAAGAGGGGAAATACTGTATATAGGAAGAGTAGTACAGGTAATCGTGGTTGGAGGGTTAGGTAATAAAGCAATAACTTACATTGGCTGTATACAATTTAAACATTGTTTTAGTCCTAAAACAAACACCTACATGCAAAATTTCAAAATCTCTTAAAAGTTGAATGCTTTTCCCTAATACTACATAACGGATTATTATTTTGACTCTTCTCATAATCAGAGACATTTTATTTTTAATATTTGCTTAGAAGAGTAGAGGTGTACTTGCTAGAAACATGGAAAATGGCAAAGAATTCTGAGAGTGGTTGTTGGGAAATGTATTTAAAAACAATCTCCTGCCACTTCTGAAAACCTGTCCTGACAGGCATCTTGCTACAAAGATTGCAGGCACACAGAAATCTTTCTCTTTTATAAAACAAGCAGATAAACCCCATTACATATAAGATGTGAAGATAAGCAATAACTAGTTATCGAGTGGACTTGACAGCACCATTAGCCACAGAGTTCATCCTACATTTACGTGGTAGTTGGGGTAGCCACCTGTGTTTGCTGATTGCTTGTAAAAGAAAAAATAATTTTCTTGTATATTATGACTGGAGGTAGATTTGTAATTTGTAGCCAAGTACTAGCTGAAGTTAGGCCCCTACTTCCTAAGAGTTTAGGAGATAAAGAACCATCATCCTTCATGACTACATTTCAAAGTATTGGCTCCCAGCCCCTTGAAGAAACATTCTTGGGGTGCTTATTTAGTCTTTAAAAAGATCTATATACATTTCAGAGAACTAGAGAAAGTATTCATAAGTTTTCTGGAGGAAATGATCAAAGAAAAAGTATTTGTGGAGGGAGAAGTCTCTTTCCTTATTTTAATAGGGAGAATTAAATCACTTACTTTATTTGTATTTATGCTTACATAGTCTTCAAGTATTACTTACAAATAATTCATTTTTTTATTTGATGAACAAAATGTATGTCTTTGACAACTCTACAGGAATATCACAGTTATTAAGATGTTATTAAATATGAAGTATTTAAATTTTATGTAGAGATTTCAAAAAATATACAAACGGCATAATAGAAAGCATATACACTTTGTGTAGCAAAATATTTATTACCTTAAGAAGTGGTCTTTGTTGGTGACTGCATTTATTAAATAAATACTGAGTGCCCTCTATTGTTGAGGAAGGTCTGGATACCTGAAATCCCTCGCTCAACAGAACAGGCAAAGAAACCTTGAGTTTATGGAGCTTAAAATGTAGAAGGATACAGTCGATACTCGATAAACATTATAGACAGCGATAAAAGGTGTATCACAAGGTGATATATTTTACCTTGTATATTACAAGGTGATAAAGTCTGTGGGATAAATTAGAGTAATAGAATGGTAATTGGAAGTGTAACAGTGGAGTGGGATTGCAATTTTAAGTTGTCAGAGTGTGCCTCATGGAGATGAAACTTGAGGTGAATGCTACGATTAATTCATGAGTAAATGCTTACATGCTTTCTTCCTTGCAGAAATACATAAAAGAGAATCAGGCATGTTATCTTAATTTTATCAGTTATAAGGAACAGTAGCCGAGGACCATGTGGATTTAACACGGCAGAAAAGTTTGATTCAGGGAAGCGCGATGCTGGAACTTGGGGCTTAGGAATGGGGAAGATGGCAGACTGAGGAGCTTCTGCTCTGTCCAGGAGAAGAGTTTCTAGTACACATCCATTATTGAATCTTCATAGCTCAATTCTCTTCTTTTTCTTGAAGTCTCAGAACCATGACCAAAAACTACAGATAAGGTGATTAAGTCAACCAGGGGTGTATGTTGTTCCAAGCGTTGTCAGGATAATGAGACTTCACAAAACAAAACGTGGCCATTCGTAGTATCATAATTAGACTAATATAACTATGTTATTGTTTTATTACCTAATCCTCCAAGTACTCTTTTTTTAGTCTGTGCTAGCAATGTTATTTTCAAATAAATGTTTTCTTTCTTCACTGTAGGTGGCTTTTTTTATGGTAGTTCATCCTCTGGTGACTCAGACAGAAAAAAGCCACTCTTTAGCTTTGAATTTGGTGCTTCCGGAGAGGCTGAAGACAAGTCCAGAGAACCTCTGGATGCTGAAAGTTTAAGGTCAGAAGACACTCCAGCAGGTACTGTTACAGAAAAAATATTGACCTAGCAAGCAAGTGCATTTCGTTTTCATTTAGGATAATCTGATAATCTTTGGTTTGTTTGCAGCACATGTCTTTAATAGTAATAGCTACTCTAAAGGCCCTGACTCCAGAGCCAATGAGTGTGCTAAATTCTGTCTTTAGAGAATTTTGGCAAAGATGTGTACATTAGATTAATTTTTTTCCTGATAATTGTTTTCCTGTGTACTCTTCATATTTGGTACTATTATTCTAATGATGAGTCATTTTTCTGACACTTTTACTGTATAAGTTAATAATTAAAAATGCTTCCTGGGCACAAATGTAGTATAGATTCTCTTTGCTCTTTTTTCTATATCTAACCAACTGATTTTCTGTATCAGAATTCCCTATTAAAATTACATATCCAGTTTGCTGAGTGATATGATAAGAAAGAGTTCCTAAACAGTTTGTGGCCTGCAATTTTGTTTTTTGGGGGGAAATATTTTGAATTTCTTTAGGTGAGGTGTGGCCTTGCTAGTTCGATACATACATTTTTTTTTTTTTTTTTTTTTTTTTTTTTGAGATGGAGTCTCGCTCTGTCACCAGGCTGAAGTGCAGTGGTGGGATCTGTGCTCACTGAAACCTCCATATCCTGGGTTAAAGCGATTCTTCTGCCTCAGCCTCCCGAGTGGCTGGGACTACAGGTGTGCGCCACCACACCTAGCTAATTTTTGTATTTTTAGTAGAGACGGGATTTCACCATGTTGGCCAGGATGTTCTCCACCTCTTGATTTCGTGATCCGCCAGCCTCGGCCTCTCAAAGTGCTGGGATTACAGGTGTGAGCCACCGCGCCTGGCCTCAATACATTTTTTCCTACTGTTCTACTCCAACTTTTACTGTGCTTGCCTGGTCACTGAAATCTCTATGGTCTGTAACGCTACAAAATGGGAAGGAAGCAGTCCCAGTGAGGAAAATAAGTTCTATATTTTACATTAAAATTTAATAGTTTTGTCTAGGAGGTGAAAAGGCAGAAACAACTTTGGAAATAATATCATCATGAAGGACACAACATTTTCTACTTCCCACTCACCTGTCTTGGGACTGACAAACTCAGTAGAGCTAAGGAGTTAAGGCAGATCCTTTCACTCTTGTTTATATTAGGTGTTAGTCGTTTTCTCATGTTCTGTAGAACACAATGGAAGTTTACTGTCAGTGGCCTCAAAGCTTTGCATTTCTTATGAAATTCTTTCAAATCTCATGGTCAATTGGTTGCCATTCTTACTCCTGATTCTACTATGTAGAATTATATTTAGAAAGATATGGAATAAGGGAGATCAAGGAATATATCAGAAACTAAAATGTGACTCTGCTTCAAGCAGTCTGTAGGAGATTAATTTCTTGTATTGTATGAATGAATACAACTTTTCTGTGGTAATGTTTGTATTTTTGTGTGGTAGATGAAACCAGTTCAGCAGGTGGTACTGTTTGGTGGTACTGCTTCAAATCAAAATGAAATTGGTAGGGGTCCCTGATCAAAATGGATTAGGTGTACATGCAATAAATGGATTAGCTGACTCTGATTCTGCTGCCAGGGAAACAGGTATTCTATGTTGTTTATTAGTTTATGCTTTTGTCAGAATAATCAATTAATTGATTTAGTTTACAAAGCAGGAGTTGGTGGTGTTTTTGACAAATACAGATTTAATATTAAAGGAATTCATGAGAAAAATTTGTTAACCTTCTGGTTCATAAAGGATCTGTATTAACTTCAACAGAAATCAGCAATTAAACACTTTAGTGAAGAGGCAAGTAGGTTTGAGGCTTTTATTGAAGGAGCTTAGAGCTGGGAAGAAGAGACACAGTTACTATCCCCAGTCTTTCACACTAACCTTTGGGAAAACCATTTAACTTCTCTTATTCCCGAGTTTTGTCACCTGGAACAGGTAAATTTTGGGCTCTTGTGGTTGAATGACATCTACAATGTTAACTTTTAAAATCCCATTATTAATATTTGACCTAGTTTTCTTGAAAAACAAGGCTGGAGAAAATAAATTTGCAAAAGTGTGGAAAAATAGCATTTTATATTCAGAAACTAGGGCCAATGAGGGAAGTGAGTGTCAAGAAAATATAGTAACTCTAGGTATTTTTGACTTAGAGCAATTTACCTTAAGACATGGACACTGGTAGAAACAGGAAGAACAAGGAGTTCGCTGGTGATAAATCCACGGACCTTGGTACTCATGTCAGTGACTCGGGAATTCTGATTCAGAGACTATTATTGCAAATAGGAATAATTGTTATTCTTTGTTTATTATTCCTGATAACACTTTAATTTTTCATTAGGCGGGAACGTTTTGCCTTTTGATTTTGGAGTTGGTAGTGAAAAGAAGAGTGAATTGGAATTTGGCTTGGTAATTCTGGCTTGGTGAAGTTGGTGTCAGAGGTTTTCAACAAAGGCTTTGGTGAAAATGAAGTAGAGAACACTGGAAATCAAGTTCCAGTGATCTATATATTACAATTCAGGTTTTTGCATCAAAATAAAGAATCATAAAATGTGTTAAAATATTCCCTTGGTGACAATGATTTTTTCTTTCTTTCTTTCATTTTTTTCAGCAGATAGCACCAACACAAGACTTGGTGCTGGTTTTAGTAGCAGTGGTGCCTCTCTGAATGTGGGATTTGGTTTGGGGACCTCTGATGAAAAGAGATTGGAAGTCGGTAGAGCTGATGGGAGTGAAACTAGAGGCAGTGGACCTGCTGGGGGTGAAACCATAGTCTTTGGATCTGATGCAGGTAGCTCAGGTATTCCAACTAAGACTCATTCCTAAACATTTAAGATTATTTCAATTAATTAATTAGTTAAAATACATTTAATACTTAACAACAAAGAGGTTAATTAATACTAACTTTAGTAATATTTTGATTTTTCCGTTAGTTGGAACTGTTTCTTCTGGTTTGAAACTTGCAGCAGGGAAAGGTGATGCTGCATTTAGTTTTGAAGTTTCTGATTCGAGTTCATTTGGTGACAGTGGCATTATTAGCAAAACAGTTTAAGGAGATCAAATGAGTGGTTCTGGAGGATCTATTTCCTTTGATTTAAGTATTAATGTCTGACTTTTGTGCATAAAAACATTTGAATCATATGTTTTTAATACATCGTGACATTTATTTTATATTCTGCAGGTGATACCAGTTTAAGAAGTGAGAATCAATTTGTTGGTGGTGGCTCTCGAAATCTGATATCCAATTTATGGGATTCTGGCCAAGAGGGATTTGGAATCAAGGAAATTGGAGGGAATGGAGTGAGTGGCAGTGTATCTGCTGAGGCTGGATCCAAAGGTGTTGGATCTGATGCCAGTAGCTCAGGTATTTTAGCCAGTTTCCGTTCCTGAGATATACAACTGAATTCCAAATATTAATTTATTTAAAAATATTTTGATTTTTCTGTTAGTGGGAATGCTTGAGTTTCTTGAATTTGGACTCGGAGGAAAAAAAGTTAGGGCTGGATTTGATTTTAGGTATTCTGATTCAGGGAAATTTGGTGATAATGACCTTAGTGAAAATGGAATAAAAGTTACTCCAGCACCTAGTTCCAGTGGCTTAGGTATTGTTATTTAATGTCTTTGCATAAAAATTTGAATAATAAACTTATTGAAATGCATTCTATGATAATCATTTTCTATCATGTAATTGGTACCAGTCTGATAAAAAGGGATAATTTTTTTTGTGATATATCAAAAAATTTAGGCTTTGATTCAGTGAAATTTGGTCAAAAGGGATTTGAAAGAAATGGATCTGGTTGGAATGAGCAGAGCAGCAGTGGGTCTGATGTCAGTGGCTCAGGTGCTTTAGTCCTGGACTCTGCTCTGGTGAAATCTAAAATGATTTCAACCTTTCATCCATTATTTTATTAACATTTTATTTCTTCACCAGTGGGGAAGTCCTGGTTATTTGAATTTGGACTTGGAGAAATGAAGGTTGGAGCTGAATTTGACTTTAGAGACTCTGGTTTAAATCAATCTGGTGACAATGGCAACAGTAGTAAAAATTTTGATGGAAATGGAGTGGGTAGTTCTAGAGGCTATAGTTTGAGGTGCTGATAGTTACCTTCTGTGCTTGGAACAATTCTGAATCATGGTATGCATTGAAAGTAATTCTAGTGACCATATTTTGTATTCAACAGGTGGCTCAAGTGCAAAAAATGGGTTTGAATATTCTGGTGGTATCTCTGAAGATTCAGGAGTCATATTGGGGTCATCTGATCAACATGGGTTTAAAGTCAGTAGAACTGGTGGGAATAGAAAGAGAAGCAGTGAACCTTCTAAGGCTGGAAGCTTGAGTCCTGGATCTGATGTCAGTGACTCAGGTATCCTAACCTGGACTCTATTTCTAAGAAATTCCAATTAATTTCTTTCTTCTTTATTTCTTTTATTTACATTTTGATTTTCCATTAGGAGGAAACACTTGGTCTTCTGGTTCTGGAAGTGGTGGAGAAAGTAAGAGTACAGATGGACTTGGTGTTAGTGCTTCTGGACTAAATGGTGAAACTGGCCTTAGTGGTACAGGTACCTGTGATAACGGAAATAATGTTACTGGGTCTTGTTCCTATGGCATAGGCATTGAGATTTCTGATGATCAGAAAATCAGAATTCTAAGATACATCTTAAAATAACAGTAAAAATTGAAATCATTATTAATAGCAATCATATAAAATGCAGGTCTACATTTTAAAATGTTGAAATATGTTTAGATATGATCAGGCAAATGATTAACATTTGTTGGCATAAGATGTGGAACTGGTTTCATGGCTGTGAATATATCAATGTGGAATTCTTTTAGTTGCCTTTATGCAAAATTGATTTGGAGTCAGTTGAAGAGATAGTTAAACTAGCAGCTGAACTATTGAGCTCAAACTTTGTATCCTGTATCTGGACTTGGTGACTTTAGTTTTCTTTGCGAGCCTATTGCTGAGAAGAGTAAGGCTTGCATCCATTTTTGAAATCCTCATAAAATTTAATATCTCCACTTAATGAAAACAATTGATTGCATAGTCTTGGAATTTGTAGTACACATTGTTAAAATAATATGTATTATTGATGCAGAAATTGTTTTGATGCTGTTATCAGGGCTGGAAAATCTTGGGAACCACTAGAATAGATGACAATAGAACTGGGGGCAGTGGCTCACTTCCCGTCAAATGGAAGTTGTGGAAAGTATTCAGGATTCATCTTTAGAATTCAACTTTAGGATTAATATCTTTTTTCTAAACAAGTTATATATAATTATCAAGAGATATAGTGTAATGTAGTAACAGTCGACCAGACACAGGATTGACTATCAATTAATTTGTTCCAAGAAAGGCCTGGTCATACAGAAATAATAATTTTACTTTTGGTTGTTCTTAATGTTTGGACATCAATTTTGAAGTCAACTCTTCCATGGAACTGAGAAATTTGAAGTCGTTCATTATTTATTGGCACTGATTTTGTTTAATCACAGTTGGTACAAATGATTTAAAAGACACCTAATTTCTGATCTCTAGACAGGCTGCCATCAGCTCAGGTATTCAAATTAGGTTTTCTTCCTGAGAAATGTATTCAGAATAATTATGTCTAATGTTTCCAGTGTGGAGTGGTTGCTAATTTGAGGAATATATATATATATATATTTTTTGCTATTTGGATGTCAGATTTTAACTGCTTTGATTTTTCCACGTGAGATAGACTTTACTAAGTAGTGTTACTTTTGGTAGTGTATATAATGGCAGTCAATCTAGTGGCTTTGCAATGAGAAGTCTGAATCTCTTGACATTAATGAAGGTGTCAGTTCATTTAGATTAGTGGTTTTCATATTACTAGTTTCTGAGTGCAGAATCTTTTGTTCAGTTGACCTCTTCAAATAGTTCCTAGGTTTCCTAAAACTAAAGCAATTCAGAATGAGAAAGTTTGGTTGACAGTGGGATAGGAGACCTAGAGCCCTGTCTACTGAACCTTGTTCTTTTACCTTTGACAAGTTTTAAGACAAATGACCTAGAAAACAAAAATTGATTTGCTGTAGTTAATTTAGAGGCAAGGCATTTAATTTTCTTACCCTAGCAGGGTTTTGAGTTGATTTTTTTTTTCTTCTACAGCTTTACATAGTCTTAGTCTGCTAGTATTAGCATTACTGGTCTAGGATCTATGGTCTACCCATTAGATTTTCTTTAAAAATTACTTTACCAAGTAAAATCATACACATAAAATAGCCTAATCCTTTTGTATTAAAATAGGTGTCACCAGTTCATCTGAATACAGTACGTCTGAACCACTCAATACTCCAGGTAATTTGATTTATGCTTTTGGGTATTTAAAAAGATACACATACACACACATACACATGTGCTTAAAATGTTGTGATGTTCTGCTGATTATTGATTTACTAGGACTTGATATTATTGTTTCTCATATTGAGCTCTTAAGTGCTGCTTCTCTTTGGATACTAAAGTTTAGATGATCAACTAAGTATTTGAAATAATTTTATGAATAAGAGAGATTAAATCACATTTTAAGGGAATTTGAATAAAATATATTACAACTCTTTTACTATTTTAGACATACATTTTTAAAATTCCTTCATAAATAAATTAGGAGTTCAAACTGTCTCCACTCTTGAGTGGAAAGACAACTTGTAGTAAAGAGAAGTCTGAGTAAAGACAACTTGTAGTAAAGAGAAGAAGCTTCAAGATAGATAAAGAGCATTTTGAAAAAGATTTTATAATTCTATCAAAATATCCACTTTGTTATTGTTGTTGTTGCTTACTTTTAGGCCTTACCCTAAGATTGAATATAAATTTACTTGGTTACATAAAGGGTCATTAGACATAAACAATAATAATAAATGTAGTTTTAAAGTATGCAGATTTTTCCCTGTAAGTGGGAGAAATACATTTTCCTCATATACAGATAATAAAATTTTTAGTATTAGATAATAGACTGATTGACTAAAATGTACGTTGATCTTATTTGTGCCATGGCTTCTGATAAAAATGAGAATGCAATGTTTTATTTCCAAAGTGAAAAAATATTTCTGTAAGGGGGGAAGCACAAATTAGTAATTGTACAGGATCCCAAATGCATAAGCTCTTAATGATTCATGAACATACTGAAAAAATATGAACTTCAGAGATAATAATGTATGTGACTTTGGCAAGTCCCAGTTCTCACAAAGTTATATATGTTATATAATATACAGAATAAAAAATTCATTGATGGTCTTCTATACCAACTTTTAAGTTCCCATGTAGAAGTTTCAATATCTTATATATTTAGAATGAATATATATCTTAAAATTGAAATAATCTATGCATTGCGTTGAATAGAAAAAGGATCCCATATTCCAGAAGCAACTCCAAAATACTCAGAAACAAGTGCAATTATTGGTAAGTAAAATGGTTGTGATATTCATCCATATATTTATGCACAAGCCAGTACCTAATGAGGTCATAGAATCAAATTCACAAGATCTGAAACTAGTTTTATTTATTTATTAACAAGGTCTAACTTTGCCATTCAGGCTGGAGTGCAATGGTGAAATCATAGCTCACTATAACCTCTGACTCCTGGTCTCAAGCAATCGCCCTGCCTTAGCCTCCTGAGTAGCTGAGACTACATGAAGGCACCACCATGAGTGGATATTTCTTTTTCTTGGTAGAAGTGGAGTCTTGCTATGTTGCCTATTCAGGTCTTGAACTCCTGGCCTCAAATGATCCTCCCAACTCAGCTTTCCAAAATGCTGAAATGATGGGCATGAGCCACTGTGCCCAGCCTGAAACTAGTTTGAAAAATGTCCCCGTCATCTGTCTGTTTAATCACTGTATGTTTGAGTGACATCACATTTGTACCATTTTTTCCTCCAAAAATCATGTATACGCACATACACGCACACACGCATGCATCCATACACACACATATATATATATTTATATAGAGAGACAAATGATATAATTCTTTACCTTCATTCACTATAAATGGGACCTCATTCAGACTTAGAAAAACCTCTCTAAAAAAAGCAAAGCAAGAAAGCATACAAACCACCACTTCCCTCCATGTATTCCTTCCCGTATTAGAGACAAGTTTTGTTTTCCTATGGGAGACAACATATTTTTAGTCTTGCTTTGTTTTAGCCAGAATGGCCAACTTAGAGTACTCTAAAGAAGTGCTCATGTACTAGTTGTAGTGAATCTTTGCAGTGATGAAAGAAAGCAAACACTGATTTATGTGGTGACTATGAGAGTGGAACCTTTCAGTGATTTTATATGATTTTATTTCTCTTAGGACAAAAACACTTTAAAACAGATCTTAAAAAAAAAAACCATCTAGAAGATATGCTAATTGTTCTAAATAATTATGTACCTGTTTCTCTGAATATTTTGTAGGTGAAGCGTCTACCTGGAGCAAAGGAGCATATAAATCTTTCAATGGCCGAATCTTTTCCTTTGAATCTTCATGCCCGTACACTTTCTGTCGTCACTGTGTTGAATCTGGAGGAGATTTCAATATTGAGATCAAACGAAACAATGATAGTGAGATTGAAAAAATAACAGTTCTCATTGACAATAATGACATCTCTATTTTTGGTGACACTATTTTAGTTCATGGAGAAAGGTAAATACCGTAATGTTTTGGGTAAATGATATAAAATTATTTTAAGTAACCTGAGCAAAAAAAGAAAAAGGAAAAGAAAAAGATAAAAAGGGAGATGGTACTTACTTCTGATTTTGATGCTCATAATGATATTTATAATTGATTATTAGCCAAGAGTTTGATAAATGCGTAAGACTTTGACATATTTGGGATTTTAAGACATTATATTTATTCCTATAACAAGATGGAAAAACAAATTTGTTTGACTATACTGAGTATCTAGATTACGGGAAAAATGTGTATTCAACAAAATTGAATATTTTTGTTGAATATTTCAGGATATTTCACTTGTCATTTGCAAGTTTAACACCAATATAAATTTGAGATTTTATAAATTAGAAATTGAAGAGAGTAAAACTTGTAGTGCTTGATTTTTAGGGGGAACAATTCGGATTTGGAAGGGATGGCATATTTGAATACTTTCCAGGATAAGAAAATGAGGCATGATATTCTACTTGTGAACATTTCAAGTTATTTGGTCATTTTTTTTTGATACTGAACCAGTGTCATCTGTTAATTTTTCTAAAGCCCCAAGGATCTATTAGTTGTTTTTTAGAAGTTCATCTGATATTCAGAAAAGACACTGTTTCTCCTTTTTTGAATTGATAAGAAAACTTTAATATTTACCAGCAAGAATTATATCTATAAGATATTAAATTGTTGTGTGACATGAATTATCAAAAAACATATAATAGTATGATTCTTACCTTTTTACCTATACTTGTATTTTATACTTTTCAGTGTACAGATACCATATAACAATAAGTTGATTCACATTAAAAAATTTGGAGAATATAATGTTCTGAATAGCCGTAGAGGAATCCTGACTTTAATGTGGGACAAAAATAACAAACTCTCAGTAAGTCTATCTATGATTTTCTTGTAATCCTGTGTTTTTTGTCCTTTTGTTAAGTTATAAAAACAATACATTATAAGGGAGGTAAGAGCTAAGGTTTATTGAGAAATCTCTACGTATTCATCACTATACTAAGAATTATCTCATTTAATATTCAAAAATATATTAAAGTACATTCTATTACTAATCATATTTTAGAGATGATGAAGCTCAGAAAATACAGAGTAAGAAAACTTATTAGGTTGGTGCAAAAGTAATTGTGGTTTTGACCATTACTTTTAGATGGCAAATACTGCAATTACTTTTGCACCAAATAATCTTTTTGAAGACACATCGTAAATGGTAGAGTCAGGACCTATTTCAAATTACAGAGCCAGGTCCCTAAGAAAAAGACCTTTAAAACCCCTAAGTAACTGGCCTATATGTAATTGAATTTGAGGAAGCACAGCCTTTTGGTTTGAGTTCATTTTAAGATATGTTTAATATTTCATGAACATATACATGTAATTTTTTTTAAAGCTAACTCTTCACAAGCAGTATCCAACTTGTGGTCTTTGTGGTAACTTCAACAGCACTCCAGGTAAGATTCCAATGTATCATGTTTAAGAACTTGCTTTCTAAAATAAAATTAAAAACAAAAATAAAAATAATCATGTGCCTTTTATAAAGAATGAGAACTTGTTAAAATAAAAAAATTTACATTGCCAAGTCTATATGTAGCTTGAAAATAATGCACACATAAAAAGAATAACTTAAATAAATAATTATTTCTTTTTAAGGACAAGATATTAATGAGCACATTGCCAATAGTAAAATTCCTGGTGATTGTCCCAGTGCTGTTGGTAAAAGCTATGAAGTTTGTGAAGATGGAATACAGGCAAGAAACTTATATTTCCTTGTGTGGCAAATTCTAGCAATAGTTCCCATTGTTTACATTTAGGGTACACAACACATATACATGTTTGTCTGGCATGCGTTTGGCATCTTTTAATTTTTTGATAGTAGCCATTCTAACACGTATGAGGTGATAGCTCTTGGTGGTTTTGATCTGCATTTCCCGGATGGTTAATGATCCTGAGCACCTTTCATATTCCTATTGGACATTTGTGCGTCTTCTTTTGAAAAATGTGTGTTTCAGTGTTTTGCCCATTTTTTAATTGGGTTCTTTCTTTTTCCACTTTTGAGTTTTATATGTTCTTTATAAATTTTGGATATTATCCCCCAATCAGATTAAGATACATGGTTTGCAATTTTCCCCCAATTTTCAGGCTACCCTTTAATTTTGTTAATCATTTCATTGCTATGCAGAAGTACTGTTTGATGCAGTCCCGTTTGTTTATTTTTGCTTTTGTGGCCTGAGCTTTTGGTGTGATATCCAAAACATCACTGCCAAGGCCAATGTCCATGACCTTTTCCTCTATATTCCTTTTGACATTTTATATTTTCTGGTCTTAAATTTAGGTCTTTGATTAATTTTGAATTGATTTTTGTGTATGGTATGATATACGTCTTTAATTTTATTCTTTTGCATATGGAAAGCCAGTTTTTCCAGCACCATTTAGTAAAGAACACATCCATTCTGCCATTGTGTCTTCTTGGTGTCTTTCTAAAAAATAATTGACAGTGTATGTTTGGATTTATTTCTGGGCTCTCTACTCTGTTCACTGGTCTATGTGTCTGTATTTATGCCATTATTATGCTGTTCTTATTACCCTGGCCTTGTAGCCCTTGGTTCCAATTTAAGCTTTTGGTTTCATATTCTTCTGAGCACTTGTATTTTCTTCTTTGAATTCTGCAACTACTTCCTCTCCAATGTTCCTATATTTTTCAGCTTTAGTCTAGCGGTACAGGCCAAAATAACCCCCCCCAAACACTATGATATTTACCATATATTAATGTAATGATTACAATTTCCTTTGCACAATGTTTTAGTTTGTCTGTATGTAAACTGACATGCTTCACCTTTCCACTATCATCTCTTAATGGATACTGACTTGATTCCTTTCTTACAGTTTGAAATCCATGTACTATGTCCCACTCCCTTACTTTTGCCCCAGACGTCCAGTCTGAATGGTCATTCCTCATATCTTTGGCTTTCTTTTTGAGGAAGTTATGAATAATGTTTTTGACAACAGCATTTACAAATAGTTTTCTTTTACTCTGTGAATTTTCTGCAGTTATGTAATTCTATTATGTTGATTTTGATAGACTGCATCCATTTGGCGATTTAATGAATGTTCACTCATTCCTATTTCAATTAGAATAGAATTCTCAAGATCAAGAGATATGTGGATAGTATTGATAAAATATATATTACTGAAAGAGGGTGTTGCAATCATAGCCATCCTGTCATCTTCAAGCAAAGCAAATTACACCATGGCATTACACAAGATCATCTGTCATCTTCATTGTGAAATCTTCCTTGATCTTTGCAGTTGGAATTGGTTTCTCTTTCTTTTGTTACTTTATGGCTCTCATTGGTACTGATAATGAGATACCATCTATAAAAATTGCCCAAGTTTTTCTCATGTGTTCCGTGTAAAATTAGGAGTCCCATGATAACAAAGATTATGTATTGTAGTAGTTGCATAATATGTTGAAAACATTCCTTGTTGCTCAAAAACATTAGTTACATGATTACATAAATTTATCTTCAAAACAATGCATATTTATTAAGGACCAACTTATGTACAAGATAGTGTGTTAAGCCCAGAGCATAAAAAGCCATATTTCTTGCTCTAGAGAAATCTGTAATCTAGTGAAAAAATGTACAAAAATAATAGATGAAAAAGTAATATTTGAAGATTTTTATTTCACTTAATTTTATACCTCATTGGAGAATGTTATCAACCTGTCTCCAGCCTACTTGATACAAATTGTACATTTGTTCAACAGTATATTTTGTTTCTCTAAAACAAATCGTTAAAATAGAAAACAGCTGTATGGTGGTCGAATTATGTTTAAATTTGAACTTTTTTTCATTCAATAATATATCTCTCTACTTCTTTTACTGAAACAGAACAAATATGTTGTTTCCAGAGAAAATACACATGACTCTGACTAAGAAAGGACAGAGTCAATTTATTTTATGGTCATCTATTTGATCATAAAATATAAGCAGGTTAACAGTTAAAACGACAATATCCCTTCTTTCTATTATGGTATTTCACCAGGTACCATCCCAATCTTAGGCATTTATCAATCTCTCTTCTTCTCAACCATTCCATTTTCTCTAGTTCTAAAATTCATGTCACCTTTGAAGACAGTTTGGGTAAGTTTAAGCACAATAATTTTTGAAGTCATTACATAGCAATCCAGGATGCCAAGTATCCAGAAGTATTCTTTTAGGAATCACTTTACCAGATATAATACTTCAAACGCCTCTATTTCAACCAATGCCATTATACAACAATCCAAAATGCCAGGAATCCAATAGTATTCATTTAGGAGTCATTTTACCAAATGTAATACTTCAAAAAGCTCTGTTTCAAACAACATCCAAGAACTCTCTTTGTCAAAGCTATAGGATATGATGCAAAAAGAAGCAAAAAAAAAAAAAAAAGCTCTTCTGTAATTATCCTTTAAAAAATTCACTTTATTGTCCATTTTTCTTATTTTTATTGCCTATTTTAATAAAATATGCTTTATTTTGTAGTATTGTAACAAAATTATTGGAACCTACTTTGAGAAATGTGGAAAGGTTGTTGCTCTCTCCAATGACTACAAAATGATCTGCATTGATGAATACTGTCGAACTACAGACAAAACATCCACATGTGACACGTATTCAGAACTGTCCCGCCTCTGTGCCTCAGATGGTCCTGGCATCTTTGAATCCTGGAGAAGCGATTCTGATGTGGCTTGTGGTAGGTTTTTACCTTCATTGTAGGCTACATCTCTGTAAGTTTCTATAGTACTTTAAAGTTAAGCTGTATTGCAAAGAAATCTCAAATGATTCTAAGTCCTGGAAGGGGATCTTAGAGGGGTGAAGTTTTGTTTTTTTTTTTGCGACAGAGTCTTGGCTCTGTTGCCAGGCGCCAGGCTGGAGTGCAGTGGCCCGATCTTGGCTCACTGCAACTTCCGCCTCCTGGGTTCAAGCAATTCTCCTGCCTCAGCCTCCTGAGTAGCTGGTACTACAGTTGCATGCCACACACCCAGCTAATTTTTGTGTTTTTTAGTAGGGACAAGGTTTCACCATGTTGGCCAGGATGGTCTCAATCTCTTGACCTCATGATCCGTGTGCCTTGGCCTCCCAAAGTGCTGAGATTACAGGCGTGAGCCATCGCGCCCGGCCAAGAGGTTGAAGTCTTGTTTGTCACATGTACTTATGAGGAAAAGTTCGTTTAGGTGGCATGACTCACTTCAAGTTCCAGTTCTTTGTGTTAAGATCTTAATTTAAAACATTGTACTCATTACAATCAGTAAAAATCATGGAAGACCACGGGTAAATTCTGTAAAAAATAACTAGTTGATCAAATGTATACTGACTAGTACCATCATTTTCTTTCAAAAAGATTAATAAAACCTAAATATGAGTTTCATACAAATATACTTTACACATATGCTTAAGTCAATCCTCATAATACAAGTAGAATATAAATGAAATTGTAGACAACATATATTTCCTCCAAATTAAATACTGTATCATAAAATAATACACAAAATTTGACATAATTTAGTTGTATTGAGTATCTTTAAAGACTGACTTCTACCTTGTAAATCAGATTGAAAGAATTCCATTTGAAAAGCTCCTCCTGGCCGGGTGCGGGGGCCCACGCCTGTAATCCCAGCACTTTGGGAGGCCAAGGCGGGTGGATCACGAGGTCAAGAGATCGAGACCATCCTGGCCAACATGGTGAAACCCCGTCTCTACTGAAAATACAAAAAAATTAGCTGGGCATGGTGGTGCACGCCTGTAGTCCCAGCTATCCAGGAGGCTGAGGCAGGAGAATTGCTTGAACCCGGGAGGCGGAGGTTGCAGTGAGCCGAGGTCACGCCACTGCACTCCAGCCTGGCACCTGGTGATGGAGTGAGACTCTAAAAAAAAAAAAAAAAAAAAAGAAAAAAGAAAAGCTCCTCCTTAGAAGACTGTGTATTCATTATACTTAGTTTCTTCTAATATCCATGTATACATATTTCTCTATTTCTCCAGAAACACAAAGATGTCCAGAACAGCATATCTACAAAGAATGTGGACTCTCCAATCCTGCAACTTGTTCCAATGTGGCTCCTTTTCAAGACAGTGAATGTGTGAGCGGCTGCACCTGCCCAGAAGGTAGTATACCTATGAGAGTATTTACACTAAAACAGAACAAAAGCGAAAACAAAGTGGGACTCAAATCATGTCAGAGTGATGTCTTATTTGTAGCACAACATTCCAACAATTTAACTATTTCTAATCCATCCTCATAGCAAACTGCAGAGGAGGGTTAGAGAAAATTTTAATGCTAATGCATATTTCCATATCTATAGTACCTGAGGGCTCCTGTAGTCCACAGAATATGCTTTAGTCCCACATTGACTGCAGTAGGGCTGTGCACCGTGTAGCAGTAACTCAGACTCAGAAAATTGTTTTCTATCCTCTTACCAGTTCTCAAAGAGTAATTGCTTTAATAAGAAGTTACCATTTTCAGTGCATGTTACCCTTGAAAGAACTATCTCAAGAGTGATTTCACAAAGCACTGCTGGACAACTTACTGATGTTTTAAGAGTTTTGAGGTTAACTTTATACAATGTGTTGTAGATTATCTGTTGGATGACATTAGAGAGAAAGGAAAATGTGTATTAAAAGCTGAATGTCCCTGTGAATCCAACGGAAAAGTGTATCAGGCAGGAGAAGTCCGAGAAGGTCCTTGTGGTTCTCAGTGGTATGTGTGTGCTTTTTGTTCATGTATTATGGATGGTGAAATAATACCAATATTTTTATCTAATTTGAAAAAATTCCTGAATGCCCCCTTAAAATAAACTTTTAAGAAATGAAAAGCAATCCCACTGCATTTTCTGTGTTGTTGATGTTTTGTTTTTAGAAAGGCACAGTGTGTTCTTTTTTATTATTAACTACATGATCTTTCTATGTACCTTTAAAAGATCATGTTCACTAACAGGAACAGTGTTTTAAATAGTAAATCACTTGGTAGTTGCAAATATAGAGCAAAATACAGAATAAGATTTTGGTTATAATAATAAAATAATAATCTCATTATGCCAATAATATTTAACAAAACGTACAGTTAGAGCTGAATACTTTTCAAATAATTTTTATATGTGGCTAGATGGTAAAGATAAATAATATTCAGCAGTAAATTTTAATGTACCAAAGTTATTGTAGACTATTTCATGATTAAGAGAATACTCAGCTTGAGTCTGCCTTCTGAGTTCTGTAACAATGAAATGATCATTGAGATTTCCCCATTCTTCATTATGGCTTTTCTCTGAAGCTCTAAATTTCTGCAATACTACAAAATACTTTTCTAGAAATGTATTGTGTCTTCATGGGAACATAATTTGGCTCAATAAAAAACCTATTTTCTCTATAAATGGAAAACGTTTTATTTTGGTTATAATAATATTAATTTAAATTATAGTTGTATTAATAAAGTTTAATTTGTATTAAGAATTAGAAATAACAGTAATTATAATTTATTGAATGTGTATAACAGTACTGCTCAAGAGAAATATAATGTGGGCTGCAAAAACGATCTACATATATCATTCAACATTTTTTACTTGACACATTTTTAAAATATAAGAAACACGTGAAATTAGTTTTAGTCATGTATTTAATATAATGCAATATATTTAGAATGCTATCATTTGAACATAAAGTTAATATGAAATCAAGTTAATGAGAGATTTTACGATTTTTTTTCTTATAAATCTTCAAAATCTGTGTGTATTTTACATTTATAGTGGATCTCAATTTAGACGAGATGCATTTCAAAAGCTCACTCTAATGTCTTTGTACCGTATTGTGTGGTACATGTCTACAATGTGGCTCGTAGCAGGTATTTTAATATTGATAATGACCTGTGCTCTATTTAAACAAATCTCTGAAATCCAGCTTATGAGTTTTATATGCTTAATTCATGAGAAGTTATTATTTAATCAAGGCTTCTGAAACATCAGGATACTACCATCAATGAGACACTTTAACGGTGCTGAGATGTTGGGTGGGAAATAAAGATGGTCTAATAAAGCTTAACCAAATGTCTTAACTTGTTATGAACTTTTAGTGTGATATTTTATTTTCACCACAGAGAAAACACAACTGATAACCCTTAATATAATTGTTACATTTTAACAGCACATGCCAAGATGCAAAGTGGTCTTGCACTGAAGCATTATGCCCTGGAAGATGTAAGGTGGAAGGAAGTTCCTTTACCACCTTTGATGGTGTTAAGTACAACCATCCTGGAAACTGCCACTTCCTGGCCATTCACGTATGTAATAGCCTGCAATATTTGAGGAAACTGATATACAAAAAAACTATTTCTCAACCAATTTAAAACACAGTCTTCACCTTGAATTACTATTTAAAGAAATAGGCTGGGCGCAGTGGCTCAGGCCTGTAATCCCAGCACTTTGGGAGGCTGAGGCCGGCGGATCACGAGGTCAGGAGGTCAAGACCACCCCGGCCAACATGGTGAAACCCCTTCTCTACTAAAAATACAAAAAAATTAGCTAGGTTTGGTGGTGCATGTCGTAATCCCAGCTACTTGGGAGGCTGAGGGAGGAGAATCACTTCAACCACGGAGTCGGAGGTTGCAGTGATCCGAGAATGCGCAGCTGCACTCCAGCCTGGTGACAGAGGGAGACTCCATCTCAAAAAAAAGAAATAAAAAAATGAACAATCTTTCAATTACTGGTTATGTATTTCAGTATGTTTTCTATCACATATTGGCACTGATGGCATTACCTGCGGGTATTAAATTAATATTACCTGTCCTCCTTGGAAATTCCTTGCAAAAAAACACAACAAATAATCGCTCATAATCATCTAAATACACTGGGAAATTATTTCATTCTCCTACTTTCCTTTGTGTGTGTTCACTACTGCTTCATATAAAACAGTCTTTTACATTCCATGAAGGATCTTCCTCTTTCATTATTATTCTCTTAAATTTATTGTTAGTTTTTATAGCACAATAGTACCACTATGATAGAGGCTATTCTTACATTTAAATTCTTTTCAGTACTAAAATTTGAATTTGAATTTTAATAAAGAGTGATTCCATTTTGTAGTCTGTGCTACAAAGGATTAGCAATCTAGTCTACCTGAGAATTAGTGATCGTATATAATCTTTCTGGTAAGAAATGAAGATTAACAGAATTTATGAATCCTGAAGTGAAAAATGTGGATTAATGTCCTCTAAGCTGCAAAATGTAGTCGCTGCTACTAAAAGTCACTCTTCCAAAATAAAGCTTCCTGATTGCCTACCAACATAATCTGCTTCTCCTTCTTCTTCTTTTTTCTTTCTTTTTTTTTTTTTTTTTTTTTTTTTTTTTTTTTTTNTGAGATGCACTTTCACTGTTTTCTCCCAGGCTGGAGTGCAATAGCGTGATCTCGGCTCACTGCAACCTCTGCCTCACAGGTTCAAGGGATTCTTCTGCCTCAGCCTCCTGAATAGCTGTGATTACAGGTGCCCATCACCACACCCAGCTAAGTTTTATGATTTTAGTAGAGACTGAGTTTCACTATGTTGGCCAGGCTGGTCTTGAACTTCTGACCTCAGGTGATCTGTCCACCTCTGCCTCCCAAAATGCCTGGATTACAGGCATGAGCCACCACGCCCAGCCTGCCTTTCTTTCTTTTTATGCTCCTGTAAATCCAATAGGATACAGGATGGGGAACGTAAAAGGGAAAAATGACAAAGCATAGGGAACATTTGCTTCTTGTAGATTACGGATTTCCAGACATTGAAATGAGAACTGGAAGTGCATGTTTGATTTAATTTATATTAGTTTTACAGATTAAATACCTCTCACATAAGATTTAAAAGGACATGTGAACCGTCCAGAGAAGCAGTAAACTATGTTACTGCTAATTCCTAAGAATCCTTATGTGGCAGCACATTTCCTTTGGGGAGACAAAAAGTAAAGATAAAAATAAAAAATGAAGACTATGAAAATCCATCAATGGTAGACTACATGGATATAGTTTATGCAAGATACTTGGACCATCTATAAAGCTCTTGGCCAGTCCTGATGCTGTACCATGGGCCAAACTAGGTTTCTATTCTCAGAGCACTCGGATTGTAGTAGGAATTGTACATATTTAAAATTCAAATGTGCATTGTGAATGAATTGCATAGTAATAGCATACCATAAATAGCATTAAATGACATTCTAATAAACATTTTAATGAAATGCATTTTTTACAGAATGAAGATTGGTCTATTAGTGTTGAGCTCCGTCCATGCCCAAGTGGTCAGACAGGAACGTGCTTAAATAGTGTTACACTTCTCTTGAATTCTGTAAGTAATCAGCTTCCTAAGGTTTATACAGAGTCAAATCATATCATTTATTTTACAAATTCAGGATTTTTGAGGTTGAAGAAGAGAAGCTTAACTATGTACACTAAAAGCTTAAGTAAAATTGCATAGAGAATTGATAAAGTCTCTGGAGGAGCTGGCTAGTTGCAAAGTTTCTGAAGTATATCAAAATTACCATAGATACACAATTAATATCTTCATTATAGATCAAATTTATGTGTTCATTAAACTTTGCAGACCATTTATGAAGGAAGGCAATGGCATTTGTTTAGAGTTTTATTTATTTGAAATTGACATTATGAGGGAAATAGACTTAAATGGGAAGGGAGAACAACTAGTTTAGACTTTGGCCTTTACAAGCTGTTTAACCTTTGGATACCCAAGTTACCATCCTGGGTTTCCATGTCTGCATTCACACATTGGGGATGAAGATTTCTTTACAGTCTGCTACACAGAGTTGGTGTGAGAAACAATGAAGCAAAATGTGCCTTAAAAATGCTTTAAAAATTTCTATATTTTAGATATTCATAAATTAATCCAATAGCATTAAACATCTTATGACATAAAATTGGGGTTCCTATATTAAAATTAATATTGTAAATTAATGTTAACTAACAAAGTGTTTTAAATATTAGTCTGTTCCAGTTGACAAATATATATTCAACAGTGATGGAACAGTCACAAATGACAAGATTAGTAACCAAGGTTATTACTATTCAGGTAAGTTTAATAACAACATTTTAAAATAAGTGTACGATGCAGTCATTTTATGTAATTTTTAAAGATATTATGGTTCTAATTTTTAACAGATATCAAAATATTAAACTATTTTAAGAAAGTAGAAACTATTGAACACATTGTTATTAATGTTCATAATTATTTTAACAGATAAAATACAGATCTTCAATGCATCTTCCTCATACCTTCAAGTAGAAACATACTTTCATGTAAAACTACAAATACAAATTGTTCCTGTGATGCAATTATATGTTTCTATGCCACCCAACCAATTCACAGACACTGTGGGTAAGTTCTCTGGATACAGTTTTATTCCCAAGGCTGAAATATAACCATCATTTATTCTAATTTTCATTGTCTCTTAATTAGTAACACTAAACCAGTAAACCATTTTGACTTAATCTGTCCTTCCACATTGTAGTAAAATAATTCCAACTTGCTTTTCATAATAAAGATGACTTATTACAAAATCTATCCTCCAAAGATTTTAGCAATTTAAATAGTTTAAACATCTTAAATTGACTGTCATTTAAATGAAATTTGATAATATATGCGTTAATGTTTTACTTTGCTAGTGCTACTAAGGCTTTTACCTGTAGTTGAGTAAATGAAAATACTGTAGATATAAATCTTTGGAAAATCACAGTTGATATAAGAGCTACACTATTACCTGTCTTTCTGGGAAATCATATGGTCATTTCTTTCACTGATGTTTTCTGTCTTAGAAATCAGTTCCTAACTACAGCCATGGATGTTGAGCAAAACAAAGATTATGGAAAATTCCACAAAGAGTAATAATTTATAAACAGTAGAAGTTTTTGTAATACACATTTACTTGAGAAGGTAGCTTATTTACACAAAGGAAAAAATGTAACTCAGGTCAGAAGGGTCCAGGTAAAAAAGACATATAGCACTCAGCACGATTCGACTCTCCACACTGAAATTGTGCAAATGTGAGTTGTAAGTTCTTACTTGTAAGCATTCTTTCTGTTGGCTCCTCAAAGAGATAAGGTTACAGTGACAAACAGGAAAAACACAGCATTCATGGCAAATGGTGTTTCAGTGCTCCTGGAATTCAAATGAAAGGGAATTTCAGTGAAATCTGAAATGCCTTGAAATTGTATTTAATGTATAAAGGCTAATCCAGACATATTCTCAGATAGCTTCTACAGGTTTTTACTTGAGCAAAGAACTGAATGTGCAGTGAGGATGTGAATCCAAAGATCCCGATTAGGTGAGATGTGCAACTTTGTTGTGTGCTGTTATACAGGACTCTGTGGTTCCTATAACAACAAAGCAGAGGATGATTTCATGTCAAGTCAGAATATATTGGAGGAGACATCTCAGGCATTTGCCAATTCTTGGGAAATGATGTCCTGTCCTAAAGGAAACCCCTCTTCATGTATCAGTATAGAAAAAGGTAATATTAATTGACTATCAAAATCTATAATTACTTATTTGGTGCTAGGAAGTATGTGCTTATTCTGGTAATAATATCAACACATCAGATAATCCTGGTTTTAGCTAGTGTTTGCTGTACTGTCTGAATTTTAGAGGACACAGCAGAGAAGCAGTCTGGCTGGTTGATGTTAGTTCTACAAAATAAATATTTCACTGGGAGTTCAACTTGGTTGCTTCTTTTTCTATACCTACTCTTTTCCTTCTTACACAATTTGTACTGTAATTATAGAATAACAAGATCCGAAGAGATTTGGGGAATATTTAGCTCTTCAGTTGTTCCCTCCTTTAATTTAGTTGTAAAAATGTTAGTTAAAATACCAAGACTCATTGAAACTGGTGAAACCACTTGATGATAGAGCTATAGCTAGGTTCAGCTGTCCTAACTCTTGCTGTCCAAGCCCCAATATAGACATTAATTAAACTTTACACTGGCATGATTCAGCTTACTTTTATACTTACCAAAAGGCTTTTAAAATATTAGTTCAATTTATTTCTCCCAAAACGCATGAACAGCATGTGAGGGACTATTATCCCCATTAATGTAGATATTGACAATGGAGCACAGAGAGGGTTAAGAAGAATCCTTAGTGAGTAAGGATGACAGCTGAGCAATCCAAGCATTTTGAATCCAAGTCATGCTTTGGTTTTCTCCCTGGTATTGCTGATACTAATAAATGCTTTATTTTGTATTGCTTCTTTCATAAAAAGCGAGTGCAATGGAAGCTAAGTTAAAATGTATTATATTGACATGTTAGTTGTTTCTAAATTGATACAATTTGAAATAGTCTCATCAGATTATAATAAATATTTTAACATTACTAAGGCAATTCCTTTTCAAAGCCTTGTCTACTAATTTTGATTTAAAAGAGCTGGTAGAAGCATTAACATAAACATCATAATACATATTTCAGGGTTTTGATTATCATATTATTTTGGCTTTGGATTTTTGCAGTGAAAACACTTATAATGAGAATATATATCTCATCAGAAACCAAGTCAATTTATGTTAAGCAGACCATATACCACCACTTTGGAGAGATATAGAAATTAATTAAATTTAATTTTCAGTTTTATATTGAACTTAACATAAAATGCAGAAAATTAAACTGTATTCTAATAATCTGTTAGTAATATCTAGATAAAAAGTGGCAATACTGGGTTGCCAATTTGTTAAAGTTTTGGAAATAATTGGTCTCAGTTTCTTTTTAATGGAGACCTTCCAAAAGTCATTAGGTCAAGCACTTGCTACTCAGATGCTATTGTTATGATTTTTATTTTTGTTAATTTAATACTGTGCTAGTTATTTATATGCCAACTGAATATCAATTAAAAAACAAAATTAGTGTATTGGAATTACTGATACTGATTGTGATAATATATGATCTTCAGGAAAACTGATATAATCTTCTGAAGTGGCAGGGATGGTGTGGTCGGGGAGTGTTGTGGTTGGTTTATTTACCAACTCAACACAATTTAGCTATAAATATATATTTTAAAGTTAAAAGGCACCTAAAGATATAATATGGTCCCCTAATTCCATTTTTATGTAGAAACTGCATTTCAGAGAAGCTAAATTGATTTAATCCCAAAAAACAAAGCTAACAAAGACTTTGCCTCTGAGTGTAAGATTTTTTAATTACAGCATGCTAATTTTGCATATAGTGACAAGTTAGATGTATTACAGCAAAACACTTTAAAAATTGTTTTAATAGACAGAACTGTTACAATTTTATGTCTTTTCTTTTAATTAAAGAATTATGGCTGGGTTCGGTGGCTCACACCTTTAATCCCAATACTTTGGGAGGTTGAGGTGGGTGGATCATGAGGTCAGGAGATCAAGACAATCTTGGCTAACGTGGTGAAACCCTGTCTTTACTAAAAATACAAAAATCAGCTGGGCGTGATGGCGCGCACTTGTAGTCCCAGCTACTCCGGAGGCTAAGGCAGAAGAATTGCTTGAACCTGGGAGGCAAAGGTTGCAATGAGCTGAGACAATCTGGGCTACAGAGTGAGACTCCGTCTCAAAAAAAAAAAAAAAAAAAGAGTTATGACATTATTGAAACTAATTTTGAGTGCACTGATTTTCTTCCAGAAAAGTTTGCTGAAAGGCACTGTGGAATTCTTCTCGATTCAAGCGGGCCTTTTGCTTCCTGCCACCCAATTGTGAACCCTAAACCCTATCATGAGGTATGTGAGGCTCTAATATTAACAGCTCTTGTTGAGAAATACTTTGCAGATATTGACAAAAGCATGTAGTTATTAAATATTTTCAAATAACAGCCATTGTCAATAGATTGTATATCCTTACATAGGCATTAGATTCGATTAATTTATTCTTGTGTTAGATAAAAGCGGTGCTGGAAAATAACCCCAAATAAGAAAAATCTTAAATAATTTCCTCTTTTTGCCTTTTCTAAATGTTTTGACAAGCAGGGTAATAATTCATTTACTATTCGAATATTTAAAAATGTCTTTGAAAGTTTCAAAGAAACTTTTTCAGGTAGAATGGTTGGTTAGGAGCTAAATTATAATACTTAGTTTACCTGATCTTTCAAGTAATTTCATAATACAATATAATTTCTTTATTTTCAAGGAATGCAAAAAATATACTTGCACTTGTGAAAACAGTCAAGACTGCCTATGTACAATTTTAGGCAACTATGTGAAAGTGTGTGCTGAGAAGGAAACATACATAGTAGGATGGAGAACTGGCCTATGTGGTAAGCAGCAGAGAAGATTTCAAGAATGACTTCCTTCTCAGTTTCACTATAGTCTTGTGTGTGTGTGTATGTGTGTGTGTGTGTGTGTGTGTGTGTGTTGTGTATGTGTGGTTTAGGCATATGTGTTTACAAATTTTTAACTGGTTCTTTCAAAGATGGGTTTTTTTTGGTTTTATTTTTTTAATATCCTTGTGCAATCTTTACATATTTTAATTCTTGATTTATTGATCTTAATATATTCACATATAAAGCAAAACCAGAATATATATGTTTTTTTATATAAATATACATTTCTGTTCAATTATTGTGTGCTGAAATCTAAATAATGTTCTGACTGATAATGCATTTGTAAATGACATTTTAATATGAATAATTTATGTTGAGAAAAAACAAAAATGAACCAATAAATTAGAAGCTCAACTATCATATTTTTAAAACCTTGCTTTGTTTTTAAAGTATTTATTGCACTGTTTGAATATGACTTCACAAAAACGCTTGATTTACCACAAGAAAAACAAAAAACAAACAGCAAACTTTGTAGAAACACATCTCTTGTAGATCATATGTAACACCTCATTGCCTGAATCCAGTTAATCAATAAGGTCTGTTCATTTCACCTTCCAAATCTCTCTCAGTTATTCACATCTCTCCATCTTTATTGCCACCAACCAGGTTCAAGAAACCACCATTGTTCTTCTCTTAGTAACTGCCATAAGCCTCCTTCGTATTCACTCTTGGCTTCCTTTAATCCGTTTTCTACAGGTAAACCAGGATAATATTTAAAACCAAGCCAAATCGCGCTAAGCTTATCATGTGACACTTCAGTCTAAAACAAGTTAATGATGTCTCATTGCTGTAAGGCTAAATACCAAGCTCCTTAAGGGGACCCTCTAAATTTTAACCACTGAGTCACTTTGTCTCTGGCCATACAGCTTCTATTCTTCTATGTACTCTTTAAAATAATCATTCTCTTTCTGAGTTAGGCTATTCTTCAGACATAGAATCACCTCTCCCTGCGCTGTCTTCCTGCTTTTCATCTACCCACCCTCTTCACTAAGCATAGATCCTCATCTGTACATACTTAGTGCCTCCCCTCTGGTTTCTTCATAGCACGTACCACGACTGTCCTTCCACCGGGAATATACACTACACGAAAGCAATGTATTACCTCTCCTGTTTATGGGCTAATACCAAGCAAAGTGTTTAAACATATAGAAATTCAGCATTGACTGAAAACAAAAAAGAATTTGAAAAACCCAATGAACAAACACTTTTAAAAAATTCATAATCTCTATTATGAATATTTCATGCTAATATCTATAAACATCAAGCTGAAATAAAATTGTTTATTTCCCTGGATATACACATATTCATTCTTTCTTTTGTCTCTGTACCAACAGAACATTCTTGTCCAAGTGGCCTAGTTTTCAAGTACAACGTAAAAGCCTGTAATAGTTCTTGCCGATCATTGTCAGAGAGAGATAGAAGCTGTGATGTAGAAGATGTTCCAGTTGATGGATGCACCTGCCCTGATGAAATGTACCAGAATAATGAAGGAAACTGTGTACTGAAATCTCAGTGTGACTGCTACATAAATGACGAGGTCATGAAACCAGGCAAACTCATCCACATTGATGACAATAAATGGTATGGAGATTACATGTATACTTACTATGACACCGAAATCAAGAGACTGCATTGTTTTCAGAGGAATGGTCTTTTGCCAATATGAAGCCTTTTTAGATCTGCCATACTTTTGATTTTTATTTCTTAATAAAAATCTCTTTTATTCTGGAAGTCTTATTGCATCCTAATGGATATAGATGATTTATCCTACTCTGGTTTTGTTTTAATCACCAGTGGAAAAATATTCTGGCAGCTTCTACTACAGACAATGTGAAATGATTTCTTATTCAGAAGATGCTTTCTAGCTGTCTCAGTAATAATCATTAACAAACACTTATTAAGTGTCTGCAGTGTGCCAGGTCTGGTGTTGAGTGCTGGAGTTGCAGAGCAGGATGAACATTGTCTTCGACTTCAAGTAAGCAGGACACAAACCGTTAGAGGGAGGTTTGTACCCTAGAGCATGATAGCAGAAGGGGCCAGGCACTACCTAAGGAGATTAAGGAAAACTTCTCAGAGAAGACAGGCATATGAATTATGCTAGGGAATGAATCTTTTTCCAGACAAAAATTGAAATGTAGAGGATGATTTCCTGTGGAGTAGACAGAATACTCAGATGTAGAAAATGTCTGGAAAAAAATTCACGCATGTGGGCTGCTTTTATACAGGATTGGGCTAGAAACATTGACAGTGGTCAGATCATAACCAAGAATTTAGACTTAGTTCCTGAAGAATTGAAGAATTTTGACTATTTTGTAATGTCTGAGGAAGCTATGATTTCTACACTTTGGAGCAAAGTAATTTCCTTCCCTCCCTCCCTCCCTCCCTCCCTCCCTCCCTCCCTC